TACTTCGTCCCATTTCGGGGGGAGGGGCGGGGGGAGGAGGAGGGAGGGGGGTTTAGGGAGAGGGGGGGGAGGGGGAAGGGAGAGAGGCAGGACGGAGAAACGAGAGGAGCCACAACCACAGATGGCCCCTCCTCCTCCTCCTCCTCCTCCTCCTCCTCCTCCGCCTCCTCCTCCGCCTCCTCGCGACCCGTCTGGCCCCTATGGGCCGCCAGGCACAGCAAAAAACCGAAACCCCGACACAAACTGAATCCAGAGTTTCTCTGATTGGGCTCCTGCGCCTCGGCGTTGGCGGCGCCGATCTGGGCCTTGCCGAAGGGGCGATGCACCGAAACATTTCTCGTTTGTTTAACCTTCTCGCGCACTCTAGCACCGCGCGCAGCACGACTCAGCCTCTCGCCGCGCAGGCCACCCGGGTGCCTCGGGCGAGGTCGAGGGCACTTTGGGGCAGCCGACGGGAGGCATCGCAGCCTGCCTCGCCTGCTCCTCGGTATCAGGAATGGAGATGGCGCAGGTCATCGCCACCTCGCGCGCGCGACAGCACCTCGCGCGCGCACTATCTCCTCAGCCGTGTGCTCGCCCAAGACAACCAACGGGCCGTCTTAGACCTGCTCGTAGTAGACCTGCTGCTGCTCGGTTTCCTGGGCGTCCTCCTGCGCGACCGTGAGCAGGTAAAATGTCGCGGTCAACTTCTCGGGCGGAACTACGCTGTCGTCTTGAAGCCAACGCCGAGAATAGCCCTGCGCGGGGCCGTCTCGCCAACGAAGGCGATGCGCGTCTTCTGCATTCTGGGCCCGCGGGGGCCTTCCAGCAAGACGCGGCGGACTCCTCGCCTGAGGGGTCCAAGAGGCAACGGTCGTCACATTCGCGCGATTCCCGTGCGCCTTGGGGACCAACGCGGGGGACTCGTGCTCAGCAACGTTGGATGCCAGGATGATGATGGATTCCGCCGTGGCTTCAACCCCTGCTTTTGCCATGGCTGCGTGGACTATAATCGTGGCCCCCCACGGCTCGGCAACCGGTCTCTGTGTAGCGACCAGGGTAACCTCGGACGACTTCTCAACGGGATGGGCGTTCGTGGCAAACGTGGCGATATTTTTCAGGTTTCTCAACAACGTTCGATATCGCGGCTCTCCTACTGCCGCCCACCGTGGTCTGGTTGCCGGCGCGGCCGGCCTGGCAACCGGTGCGACGATTGGCGCGGCCACTCCCATGTGCTCTTGAAAAAGCGGAAGCCGAGGCGATTGGCGCGGTTCTCCTCCCCGCGGCTTTCGCTCCTCCTGCGTCGCCCTCCTTCCGAAAACAGGGTCCAAGGGCCATGGAGAGAATGCTTGGCATCGACGCGTTGGCGCAAGTCCGAGGGCGCTGCTCACACGGCCCGCTGGCCTGGCACGAAACATCTTTACCCAGGCAACCTGTATCCCAGATATCGCCATACATCTGAAACGTCAACTGGTTCCCTCGAGCACCGGGCATCATATCCCACTTTGAGCAAGTTCTCGGGTGCTATGTGGTAGCCTTTTTCATCACAAAATATTAGATGCGTGTCTGGCAAACATGTAATCACAAATGGCAGCCAAGAAACAAACAGCACGCTGATCCTCACCTCGCCCTCGACCCCTAGGACGTTGCTGAAGACCCCGTGGACATCGAAATGCGGCCTGACCACAAGCTTCCCGATCGAAACAAACTCAAAGATTGCGCAAAATGAAACCGTCATCGTACATGCCCTGCTGATAGAAGGGTTCCCTTCGCGACGTCGCCGACGTTGAAACATCAGCGCCGTGCCCGCAATCGCCAAGAGTACGCCGTAGTCATGGGGGATGTTGCGCGATGGTCTGATGCGTTTCAGTCACGGTGGTGCCACGCCGTAGGTGTCCAAGAACACTTGAGGCCGAGGTTGTACAACCTCAAACGTAAACAAATGGTTGGCCCTCTTGTCGGCGGGTGGTTGAATAGCGATGGCGTTGGCCCGCAAGAGATGAGATGATATATTCGTATTTTCAATCAGGCCTTCATGGTATTCTCCTCCAGGCTGCGCTGGCGTTCAACCACAACGTGCCAGACAAGGACGGAGGACGACTGGAAAAGCGGTGCAACGCACAAATATTTCAAGGGCATGATGTCCCGCAGCTTTGTGTAAGGGCATTGGCAACTACGAGGTCAACAGTCCCAACAGCTTCGCCACAACGGGCACACACTTCGTCATCTGGATGCAATGGGACGAGGGTGATGGCCAGGGCCGAAATCATGTAAGCACGTCGGGTTTTGAATGTGTCTACCCTCTTGGGGCCTTCCTGTGGACACCTCGTGGCCACCTCGGGCCGCCTTGTGGCAACCTGGAGACCTCTTGGAGCTGCAGTGGAAGGCATCTTGGGCTATCTTGGACCGTCGCGTGCGATCTGGGTGGCTGTCTTGGAGACCGCCTCGCCTTACCTTGCCCTGGGGGCAAGGTGGTGGGGGCGAGACACGCCGATTCTGAGGCCGAGAGGCGCTTGGAGGGGCTGACCCGCTCTATTAGTGGAAGTCCTCTCGTCTGGGTCTGGACGGCCCCAGGTGCCCCAAGACGGCGTCCAAGATGGTGAAACATTGGCTAACTTAGCCCAATCTTGCAACGGCCATGGGCGCGATAATAAAAACGACGTCGACGACACATGAAAAAACTCCAGAAGTCTCCCATCGCCGACACGGAACACGTTGACAAAGGCGACAAATACGATACAAGGACGACAACGCCGATTAGGAACGACAGAGACAGGAAAGACGACGAAGAGTCTGACGGGTGGATCGTTTGTGCGGGCCGTGTGGGTGGACCCTACTAGAGGGGTCAGGCGGGTGGAGCGTTAAGCAAGCGGGCCCCTGGGAGCGGGTCGGGCGCCAAAACATGATATGATTGGAAGGCGGGGTGGACGGGCCCTGCCCGGCGAAGCGGGCGGGCGGGTGGGGTTTCTTGGGCGGGTCGGGTGGGCAGGGCGTTGCAGAGGGCGGGCGGGCTGTCACGCACGCGAGTAAGCAAGAGGGCTATGCGGGCGGCGACGATGGCAAAGACGCCGGTGACGATGACGGAAATAGAAACAACGACGGCGACGACGAGCATTACGACGATGACGGCGAGGACGACAATGACCCGAGAGGAACGAAGATGGAGGAATACCCTATCGGATTCTTGCTTCCATCTTCACTCTCAAAAAATATTACCCTTTCTCTCAAACTGAACTGAACCGCGAGACATGCTCTGGCCCTGGGCAGCTTCCACGTGACATACAGGGATATGAGACTCGCGCCTTTTTGTGGAGCGCCACACGAGCGCGCTGAACGAGCGCCATCCCTGAGAAAATCCAATACGATACACACGCGTAGATATCACACGTGAGGTCGGATTCAATCCACATTCAAGTATTACCATGGAGGCCATGCTCACGAGCTGAACGTGCCCCATCCCTGCCAAGTGTTACCATGCGGGCCATGCGCGCGCTGTGAAAGGTCATGTTTCAAGCAAGCGGTACCAAGCGGGCCACTTATGACAGCGACAACCCCGATAAACAAAGTTGCAAGCACGCGCGCATGATTACATGAGCTTGTGCAGCCTTATGCACTTATGCATGAATCGAGGAATCGAGATCCTACTAAGCTATCATCGCCACCATCACGAACGGCCCCTGGTACGAAGTATAATGCTGATGCTAGGACTGGTTACGAGCGAGTACTGTAAAGCTTCATGACTGCGAGCTTGAATGGGCTTGATGCAGCATCTTGGCAATAGGCTCGGCTCTACTCTGCTCTTCGCTGCTCTGTTTTTCAGCCAAAATAACCCGACCAGCCTCTTTCACTGCATCGGCCTGCGGTGCGCTACTCTACTTGTTGCTACTATACTCTACAGCTTTCTGCTCTTCTGCCCCGCTCTATGTTAAGTCACTCTGACTTACTCAACTGCGCCGCATGTATGGATGTGTATAAGAACGTATTGCCATACAACTCTGCTCAACATTACGCCTGTCTGCGCTACTCCACTCTACTCGGCCCCAATATACGCTACGCTTCATTCGCAGATCCTGCTCTACTATACTTTGCACTGCTCTAACCTGCCCGAAATACACGGGGACGGAGGCGACTGTTCTGGCGAAGGATCGCGGCAAACGCGCGCCACAAACATGCCGTTAGGTCCACGTGTCGCTGCCGTGTGCTTCCAGACACAATCCTGGGCTGGCTCTCCGATCCCCCTTTCCTTGCTCCTCCCAGCGTGTCCAGTTGGGTGTCGGGCGGGGGCGGAAGGCCACCAGACGCCTGACGAGGCACGCGAAAGTGTCTCCCTCTGCACAACTGAATTGATCGCCAGACGCGCGCGAAAACGCTGAAAATCGAACAGCAAGTACAACGACAGCAACTACGAGAAGCCTGCCATTTCGTTGAACCGAAAAACGCGCGCACCCTCTGGGCTTCGCGACAATGGGAAAAAGTGTGAAATCCTATCACTGCCAAATCCCTTGCAGAATCGAAACGTCAGAGCAACACATGTACTGCTTCTGCGTTTCGCAGTGGTGCGATTCTGCGTCCGCCGCGACGGGGCGCTGTGCGAAATCGAAACTTAAAACAAAATCGCAGTTTCGGCTCTTCGGCATTTAGTGCTTTCCACAAGGTTCCGAGAGCGCGGTGTCGGTGCTAGACTTCCCGACCGCGATTGTTGTTGCTTATACTACTGTTTCAAAACATTTGCCAGGAGTGCGCGCCCAACATTTCTCTTGCTTAGCCCCCTTTGCCCCCCGGCTCCCTCACCCCCCCTCAACCCTCCACCGTGAGAAAAGATAGGCTGGATCGGTGAGCGCGGTGGGAGACCCTCACCTGGACGACCAATCCGGCTACGAAAGATTAAGATAGGGATGGGATCCCTATGCTCTTGGTGAGCCTCCACTCCCTCTCTTCTCTCGACATGTCCCGCCCTTTGTCAAATTTCCCTGGGCCCTCCATCTTCCACCGACCGTGCGTTCGACCGCCCGCTCTCCACCCCCCCACCTACATGTCGCAATCGATTCATCGCGAAGAGATCCCAAATCCGGGTGCTGGGAGCCGAGCTGCAGTCTTGGCCTGACTGACTTGTGAGTCGCAAGCCTTCTGCCTGGCCTGGGCGACCGAAATAAAGCCACACGTTCAGGCTAGATCCACAAACAAAAAGGATGGTGCACTTGCCGGCGAACTGGGGGGTGGGTAAACATCAAGGACAAGTTGGAACAAATGAGCTTGGCAAGCGGGATGCTATGGGCCGAGCGGGATTCCAGCATCGCCGAAACCCACGGCGCCTCCTTGGCCTGCATCTTTCTCAGATGCGTGTACTTCTGGCCCGTGCCAACGAAGACGACGGGCTGCCTGACTCAAGTTCACATTGTGTACATGCTGGGTGATCCAGGCAAGCTGATTGAATCGACTACGCTCTGCTGAGCAACAAGAATACGCAAGACAAAGTTGATCGAATGGCACCAAGGCGCCGCACTCTGTACGCTGATCAGGCCCAAGCTCCTCCGCCAACGAATCCTGAAGGCCACGCGCGCAACGGGTACTGGACCTCCACTCGACAGGCAAACACTTAGTTTCTGGAAAACTCTACAATCCCATCCGTCGACCCTGTCTTAAACGCGAAGCACGATATGCGGTCAACGACGGGCGCTACAGCGTCTCCGATGGCCACTGCCATGCGTTTGAACTGTGTTATCTCCAGGGCCATGTTCAAACCAAAGTTCCGCCGACCTCCTTGTAGCGGCTACCAGGCTGTGAAGAATACCTAGGATTCGAACTCTGCTTCATGCGGCATCCTGATCCCCCCGAAACTGTCTTGGACCATCCTTGGGCTCTAGGGCCTATCTTTACTGCCGTCTTGCTGCCCTCCGGATAACCCCTGGCGCTGTCTGGGACTCTCGTGGGTCGTCCTGGGGAACTTCAGAGACCCTCGCGGGAGACGTCCTGGAGCCCTCTTGACGCTCTCTTTTCTCGACTCGGAGTCTTCTTTGGGCTCTTTCCGACAGCGTTGCCCTCCAGCACTACAGCGCTCCTGAAGCCGTTTGAAACCGAGGCGACTGGGAGAAGGCAAACAATGCAAACATGTCAGACACGACGGGCAACTAACAGTCCGGTATCACGCTCCCGATGCGCAACACATGAATTATATACAAATGCACAGACAAACGTGCGCGTGGTACGATACCGTATTGTTGGTGCAATATTCAATAGGACCACGCGTGGATGCAGAAATCAGAGTCAGGGGGCCGAACGGTAATTCACTGTCCCTGGGTGCGTGGCTGAAGTGAAATTCCGCGGTGCGGATTCTCGTTGTTGTTGTTGTTGTTGTTGTTGTTGTTGTTGTTGTTGTTGTTGTTGTTGTTTGTTGTTGTTGTTGTTGTTGTTGTTGTTGTTGTTGTTGTTGTTGTTGGTTGTTGTTGTTGTTGAACATTATTTCTTCTAAAGAATAATTATTGTTGGGGCCCCTGGTGCACGCCCCCCCCGCCGCGCCTAGGCCGCAGCCACATTTTCATCATTTTCGAACGAAAACCCTTGACAAAACGATGTGATCCAGATCCGGTTGTTTTGTTCCCCCCCGCTTTCCCTTGCAAAAAACAATATAAAATGACATTTCTTGTTCTAACATAACCACATTTCAAGAATCCCTTGCAAAAAATAAAGTAAAGTGGACATTCGCGCGCGCAAGACGAAATCCTTCCAAAACCTTAGTTTTCGTAGCGATTTTAACATAAAAACATAAAAAACAATTGTTTTTTAAAACAAACTTGTCAAAATTTCATCCCGCGCGCTCTTGCGGATTCGTAGGAAACCCAACACTTTTCAAACATTTCTGTCAAACGGGCTTTTGCGAGCAATTTTTTCGAACTTCTGCAACAACGGTGGCGCACCTGCCAGGGCCATCATCCCTGTCAAATAATACCATGCGGGACACATTCGTTTTTTCTTCGCGCGCGCACGCCGTCGTCGTCGGCCGCGGGGCCCTGAATAGTAGCCACGGTCGTCCGCATGCCACGAAGTGAAGTGTCCGAACGTCATAGGGCGGGAAGCTGGGTGTGGGTGGTGGCGAAGAGTCGTTTGGAAATTTGGTAGAGCTTGAACCGGCCCCCCCACAAAGTGGGGGTATTGCCCGCCTCCTATGAAAACCCTGGCACTGGTGAGAACGGAGTGTCCCCACGTGCTAGTAATTGTTGTTGTTGTTGTTGTTGTTGTTGTTGTTGTTGTTGTTGTTGTTGTTGTTTGTTGTCGTCGTCCCACCCGCAACCCGCCCCGCGACCCACCCGCGACCCACCCCGCGACCCACCCGCGACCCACCCGCGACCCACCCGCGACCCACCCGCGACCCACCCGCGACCCACCCCGCGACCCACCCGCGACCCACCCCGCGACCCACCCCGCGACCCGCCCGCGGCCCACCCCGCGACCCACCCGCGACCCACCCGCGACCCACCCGCGACCCACCCGCGACCCACCCGCGACCTACCCCGCGACCCACCCGCGACCCACCCGCGACCCAAACCACGTTCAAGGTACAAACCACCATTTTCGGCGCCTGCGGCGGGCTTTTTTTGCATTCCTTCCAGGTTGAGAGCCCGCGACCCACCCCGTGACCAACTCGCGACCAACCCGCGACCCAAACCACGTTCAGGGTACAAACCACATTTTTCGGCGCCTGCGGCGGGCATCTTTTGCATTCGTTTCAGGTGGAGAGCCCGCGGCCCACCCGCGACCACGTTCAGGGTACAAACCACATTTTTCGGCGCCTGCGGCGGGCATCTTTTGCATTCGTTCCCGGTGGAGAACCCGCGGCCCACCCGCGACCCAAACCACGTTCAGTGTACAAACCGAATTTGTTGGGCGCCTGCGGCGGGCTGCTTTTGCATTCCTTCCAGGTGGAGGTGGAGAGCCCGCGACCCACCCGCGACCTAAACCACGTTCACTGAACAAACCAATGCCGCACAAGCGCGGCGGCGGATTTTTGCATGCCGCCTGAGCCCGCAAGGACCTCTTCAAGCCCCGCGCATCCACACCAGCCCGTCCAGCAACTCTGCCCTGGCGAGTTGCCTTAATCAAAGAAGGCGGGGAGCATAAAGTGGAAAAAAGGATTGCGTTGCAGTTATCTTGGGAAAGGAGGGGGAGGCAGGAGGAGTAAACAGGGGACGAGGAGAACGCGGAAGAAGAGAGGATGTAAGGATAATGTGGAGAAAGAAAAGGAGGAGGAGCAGGAGGACGAGGAGGGGGAGGAGGGGGAGGAGGAGGACGAAGAGGGGGAGGAGGGGGAGGATGATGATGATGGACGACAATGGGAGGACGATGATGGAGGCCGATGAGGGGGAGGACGACAATGGGAGGACGATGATGAAAGGACGAGGGGGGGAGAGGGAGGACGAGGAAAAAGAGGAGGAGGAGGACGACGAGGTGGAGGAGGAGGATGACGATGACGATGAGGACGAGGACGAGGAAGAGGAGGAGGAGGAGGAGGAGGAGGAGGAGGACAGCGCCATCGACAGGGACGGTGGGGGCCACGAGGTCCGCCGGCTCGACGACGCCCGCATCGCCCGCGCCCGCCCCCTCACTCTTATCCGCAATTGCGGGGTGCTACGTATATGTGGTGCACTGTGCGCAGTACAACCTATTTGGTGCAGTCTCTCCATGCGTACTGTTGAGTCGTACCAGTATATCTATATAAGCACAAACGTCAGAGTGAGGGGGCCGAACGGTCATTCACTGTCCCTGGGTGCGTGGCTGAAGTGAAATTCCGCGGTGCGGATTCTCGTTGTTGTTGTTGTTGTTGTTGTTGTTGTTGTTGTTGTTTTTTGTTGTTTGTTGTTTGTTGTTTGTTGGTTGTTGTTGTTGTTGTTGTTGTTGTTGTTGTTGTTGTTTGTTGTTGTTATTGTTGTTTGTTGTCGTCGTCCCACCCGCAACCCGCCCCGCGACCCACCCGCGACCCACCCCGCGACCCACCCGGCGACCCACCCGCGACCCACCCGCGACCCACCCGCGACCCACCCCGCGACCCACCCCGCGACCCACCCCGCGACCCACCCGCGACCCACCCCGCGACCCACCCCGCGACCCGCCCGCGGCCCACCCCGCGACCCACCCGCGACCCACCCGCGACCCACCCGCGACCCACCCGCGACCCACCCCGCGACCCACCCGCGACCCACCCGCGACCCAAACCACGTTCAAGGTACAAACCACCATTTTCGGCGCCTGCGGCGGGCTTTTTTTGCATTCCTTCCAGGTTGAGAGCCCGCGACCCACCCCGTGACCAACTCGCGACCAACCCGCGACCCAAACCACGTTCAGGGTACAAACCACATTTTTCGGCGCCTGCGGCGGGCATCCTTTGCATTCGTTTCAGGTGGAGAGCCCGCGGCCCACCCGCGACCACGTTCAGGGTACAAACCACATTTTTCGGCGCCTGCGGCGGGCATCTTTTGCATTCGTTCCCGGTGGAGAACCCGCGGCCCACCCGCGACCCAAACCACGTTCAGTGTACAAACCAATTTGTTGGGCGCCTGCGGCGGGCTGCTTTAGCATTCCTTCCAGGTGGAGGTGGAGAGCCCGCGACCCACCCGCGACCTAAACCACGTTCACTGAACAAACCAATGCCGCACAAGCGCGGCGGCGGATTTTTGCATGCTGCCTGAGCCCGCAAGGACCTCTTCAAGCCCCGCGCACCCACACCAGCCCGTCCAGCAACTCTGCCCTGGCGAGTTGCATTAATCATAGAAGGCGGGGATCATAAAGTGGAAAAAAAATTGCGTTGCAGTTATCTTGGGAAAGGAGGGGGAGGCAGGAGGAGTAAACAGGGGACGAGGAGAACGCGGAAGAAGAGAGGATGTAAGGATACTGTGGAAAAGAATAGGAGGAGGAGCAGGAGGACGAGGATGGGGAGGAGGGGGAGGAGGACGAGGAGGGGGAGGATGATGATGATGATGATGATGATGATGATGATGATGATGATGGACGACAATGGGAGGACGATGATGGAGGCCGATGAGGGGGAGGACGACAATTGGAGGACGATGGTGAAAGGACGAGGGGGGGGGGGAGAGGGAGGACTATATAGCGAGCGATCACAATGGTCCGTACCGATGACAGTGGCCTGCCCAGGGTGGCGCACACCCAACCACCTACGCCACCTGGGCAGGCTGGGGGATGACGGGAGGCGGAGGAGGGCAGGCAGGGGGCGGGAGAGAGGCTGGGCGGCACCTGATGGCGGCGTGGGCCGCCGCGACGTCGGCAGCCACCGCGTCGGCCCCGAACGGCGCCGCACGCCGCGCGCGCGGGGCCGCGCTCGCCGCTCTCTCTCCTTCCCCCCCCCTCGCCCAAGCCCTCTCCTTCCG